AAAAAAAAGTAGTATATAGTTGATAGACACTTGGAGAAACTAGGTCAGGGTATAGAAGCCAGGTTCTCGGTAACGATTGCCACTATTTAATCGAATAATATTGCATACACGGTAGGCTTTCCTTTTCTGTTATACAGAAAATACTGGGATAGACCACTACTACCGCAATGCGTCCTGGTTGAGCGTAGCCGTTTAATAAAATAAATGTCGACCTCTCTGTGATGCGCGAACGATTATTTCTGGCCGTTTAGTTCACGTCGGGTTCCAAATCGCTTACAACGGTCCCTTCCCCCCTCTCCTTCTTCGAACCTTTGTTACGCGTAATAATGATTCGGCAACCAGGCTTTGACTTTATCAAAATGATATGAACACTAAAATAGCTGTGAAGATGTTTTTCCAAAAAATTGCTTCAATTTGTGTCAAATGTTTACAGCTGAAATCATGAAATACGTGATCAAATTTCGAGACTCAAAAAACAAAAAGAACAGGAATAATTATGTCCATAGCGTCACTTAATGAAATGCTAAGCTTAACTCTACTAAGTACGTACAAGAGTATAGTCCTTTGAGACTTAGACTGGAGACGATCAAACTGCGAGGTTAGGCTGATTGTGTAAGAATTACCATGTATGTACCTTCTAGCCTTCGGTGATGAAAGCAAGAATGCACTTAAAAGATGTTTTCATAGTTTCTCAGGAATCGCCTCCGCCGCCCGACCGACGGCCAGTTTAACCAAGTTCCAAACAGTTCAGTCCAGACATCTTTTACAGACAAATAGAAGATTAATTTTGCGTTGCTGATGTAGTCCATCGTTCCCTAATTATAACACTTCAGACTTATTCATCAGTGTTTTGTTGGAAGAATAACAAACTTCCAAGTCGTTTCAGAGGTAAAATTAACCTCTAATTCCCAGTACGCTTTCGTTGGATGTTTGAGGTAATTACACGTCAATGTAAAACTTTACCTTAAATAATCATTTCTGCAGAGTATGGAAGTGCCTTTTTCAAAACATGTTTTTCCTACTTGCTCAAGGATCACACCACACTGAGAGCACTTCAAACAAGTCGTATGCCAGAATTTATCGGCAGCTGATAGGAGATATTTTTCTTTAATTTCCTTTGTACATCCCGCACAACTTCTAACATTACCCAGCTTCGAAGCGCTCATCGTTACGAGCTGGGAATGAAAAAAAAATTGCTTGCAATGAGATATATTTAAGAACTTATTTCTCTTGTTTGTTTTTTCAGACAACACAGACAGTTAATCTTACAAATAACCGAAATGACCTGTGTAGAATTAAACAAGAAATAATCCAAAATAAACATCCTTTTCAGAAGGGGTATGATGCAATGTTCTTTTGCATTTTGCTTTTTCACGACTAACATACCTATGATATTTTGGTTCGAGGAAAACTCTGAATGAGACTCGCCAATGAAAATGAACAGGAGAAATAAAGTTGTTTTTAACATCTCCGAATCATAAGACGTGTTTTTCTTTGACGCACAAAGATCTAGAGTTGCCTCCAAATTGAATCAAAGGCCAAAGGTTGAGAGAAACAAGTTCGAACTGTTCTCATGAGCTCTAGATCTATTACAGTTGATAATAACATTTTAGGATCCTAACTGGTGAATTGGCTGTGGCATTGTGATGTTTTAGACTGTTCGACTATCTATGTTCAGAACCAGCTGGTTAACGTATTTTTGTTCCACCTAAATAGCAGTATTCAAATGAGTAGAAATATGGCCTCCATACTGAGTCATCGCTTTTATTCGTCCTCGTCTCGCCTAAAAGCGCACTAATGGCTCAACACAATTTTTACCTCTTTTTTCTCTAAGATTAATATAAAACCTTCCAGGGGTCTCGTTTTAACAACATAGAAAAGCTTTTTGACATAAATTTAAATAATATAACCCCTGTAAGACAACACAGACACACACATCCCTGTCTAACCTTTAGATTAAAAGGCGTACACCAAAGAACATTGACTTTTTTTCTTTTTCTTTTCTTTTATTATTTAAAAATCACACATTAAAAATCAATACTAGGAATTAGAGTAAAGTCTCGCCAAACACATCGCAGAATGATTCCAATCTCAGTGCTCATTTTTTCAAAAAGCACTTCTCCTATATCAGTCAGTGGCAAACACGTAATCCACACACTTCTCCAACCGGATGATGCTCTCAACACCTAAGGTTTGTTGTCGTCAAACCAGCCATAATAAGGCGGGTTGTAACTGATAAGCTGGTTGGGGCAGCGAGCTTGGCTACTTTTGTCGAACCCTCAACCCCCCTCTTCCCCCACCTTGATTATTTTAATTTTAGACGGGAACAAAACGCCTTATCTCGGGACGTCAAAATCACGTTCTGTAAGCTTAATGAATACCACTTCTTCCCTTTTTCAAAGTCATTTTCATCGAAAACAAAATTTACGCTTTTCTCCAACGCATCAATTTTACTTACCGATCGTCCGATCGCGTTCGAGTATTGAATTTAACAAATCAACAGTGGTTTTGCGTGGTCTGCACTCATATCGACAACGATATACGTCATTACAGTGATCAAAATTTGATGAACCCTCGAGGCACAGCCGAGTGAGTCCGCAACTCATAAAGGAAATAGTCTAAGTAGTGAAAGGCACGATCACGGTAGCGAGGAGCGAAAAAACGAGAGAGGCTTGGGTCGGATCGGGTAGGACCGGTTAGTCAATGACCATTTGCCTCTCCCCCCTTACATGGGAATATTTTCGTTGATATCTTATCAAAGCACAGGCGGCCCAAGCGTACTGTGTGTGATTTTGGGCTCTGAAATCCATTTACGGGAATAACTAATGTATTTTAAAGGATTAAATTTAAGCGTAATTAGACTAGTGCCTTAAAATAATAGGAAAGATAAGAATAAAAGAGGATAATAAAGGCGAGAAATATAACGTATTAAGTCTCTTACCTTTGTTCTGAAGCTGCCTTGTCGCTTCCGATCGTTTTAACGCGGCTATTTTTTTTACTTTTGAGTATACTGGGCACTTGAACCGGTCCCGAGCACCAACTTTCGTCAGTCGAAGGCCAATAAGTTCCACGAAAGTCGACTGATCCCTCTCAATATTGGCACCAGCGACAGCCAATTGCAAATACCTACCTGTTCGAGCAGCAAAAGTCTGCAAATTCTGCTGTATTGACACGAGAGGTGCTCTGTTTTACCACCCATCCTGACTAATTCGCTTTTTCGTGACGCGCATTGCGAACGGCCTGACTTCGGGATTGAAGGACGACCCTAATAGCCATGCAGAACGGTGGAATGGCGAAAAAAGACCCCAGGTCCTAAAACACGGAACGGCGGAATATGACCCCAAATCCAAAGAGACAGAACAGGAGAAAATGACCCCAAACTTTAAAGGACGGGTTACAACTGATCAATGTTGCAACTGATCTGTCAGGTCATGTTGCGCGCGAAATGTTCGTGCAAAGACACTCAAGGGCTTGGCATTCATCCCCACGACGACAACCCGTATGACTGAAATTAAGGGTATTGATTTTTTTCTACTGATTGCTTTTAATAGTAATGAACCATTGGGCATGAAAGATGGCTCCCTGCGCGGTTTAAACCTGTTTAATTTCCTTTTGTCAAGCTAAATCTACCAAGAGTTTAGTTGCGGCATAAAAAGTCGCACAGCAGGTGGAAAACAACTTGGCATACCACATTACAACAAGCAATTGTAACATAAGTACGTTTCCTGGTCACGACTGCATTGATTTAATGAAACATACCATATGTTTGGAAAGGCGAGAACATCACTGCAACGTTTTCACGCTTCTCAAAATATTACGACGTTTAGCCCCAGCTTCGAAATTTGACTAGCCTGAGCAGACTCCGGTTACGAGCCCTTCAATACGAACTTTATTTCGTCCACGAGTAAGTTTGAAGCCTTGAGTGACACTAGGTGGAGAGAGGTTTGCAGGGAGTCATGCGCATGGAAATTTCCTGCGGCGTGAAAAAGAAAAAAGAAAGTTAGCAGAAGGTAGCCTTCAAGAAGAATTCGAAGAATTTCTTTGCGACCGAATGTCCTAAACACCATTATTCTACCATGAAATTTACGGCTTACATCAGCGGAAGAAAAAAAAGGCTACTTCACCGGTTCGAATCCGGCTCACTCGAACCCCCGCTTACTCGAACAAGATCCAATTTCTCTCGAATTTGACCCCATCTTTTGTGACTGCAACCTCGAACACGTTTTAATTGACCTCCCTGTTAATTTTTGGCTCAAAGTTACCCCAAAATCTGTAACTTATAGTAAAAACGACGGTCGATAAACGTCGACGTCAGTGTCAGAATTTAGCTAATTGGCACGTCCCATTCTTTAATCGCTAATACTCAGGGTTCGTTTTCCGCCGTTCCGTCTTTTAGGATTTGGGGTCATTTTCCGCTATTCCGCCGTTCCGACTTGTAGGATCTCCCGGGTTTTGAATATCAAAGCGTATCCGACCAAATAAATGACTCTCCAAGGGATCGACTTTTGTACGGTGGCCCATTAGTGTCACGTCAAGACAACGCCAACTCACAGCAAGACAACGCCAATTTTTCACGGCGGAAGTGAAATGCCACGGCGGATGTAAACTGATGACTATTCCATTAAAGGCCATAATATGTATTTGTGAACTATGGCGGAATCTTTGGAAGTTCACCTGGAAGATGAGCTACCTAGAGTTGCCAAAAGACGAAGAAGGCCTCTTCCGCTATCATTTCTTCAGGAGCTTCGAGTACGAAGAAATTAGCCTGTTTTTACAGAAAAACCGCGACATCGGTATTTTAAAACGGCGAATTGAAAGCTATGGTTTAAAAAGAAAACGATTGTGTCGATTTTGTATACAAACCACCAACGTTCTGGGATAGTAAGCAATATTATGGTCTTTATGTCACCGTACTTCCGCATGGCATTTCACTTCCACCATGGCTTCTCACTTCCGCTTTGAAAAATTGGCGTTGTGTTGCCGTGAGTTGGCGTTGTCTTGTCGTGAGTTGGCGTGGTCTTGCCGTGAGTTTTGTTTTTGCCGTGACACTTATGGGCCACCACACCTTTTGCCCTTTTGCAAAACAACACCTTCTGGGAGTCGGTGCGTGTATTTCGACCGGATGCGCTTTGCTATTTTTTCAACGACTACCTAAGGTCATTTTCGTGGTTTCGTGTTAAATAGTGCACGCACATTGACGCAGCTTTTCTGTGCTCGTTATGTCTTCGTTCGCACGGTTCCTAACAGTTTTGACTTTGTTAGCAGTTGTCTTTTACAGAGGCTGCTTGTCAAAGACGAGGGAGTATTTCATCGCAGCAGTTGAGATGGACTGGAATTATGCACCAACAGGATTTAACAACTTAAAAGGAGTTCCATTGGAAGGAGACAGGTGAACATTTTGGTCATTTTTCACTGCTGTAACAGTGTGCTTTGCAAACTTTTCAACTATTCGCAAATGGACTTTTAGCATTGATTCATTAAAATCTTAGAGCTGCTCCTGAGCAGATTTTTTAGCGATATTTAGGGAGGAATTGAATACAATTCAAATCAGACTGATTTAATCCCATTGTAAGACACTATTGTTGTATTACATCATCAAATGGTGAAAGAAGTGTAGGTTGGAAACGTGAAACGTTTAAAAATGACCTTGGTAAGACATTATTAAAGCACACGCAAACGGAAAATATCATAAGTTGGACCAAGACCATCCATAGCTTAAAATTTCTGCAATCGAATTAGTGTCGTCTTTGCCCGCTAATGTGGCATTAATTGCTTTGGGAGGCATATGTTAACTTCATTTCTCTGGTTAGCTGATCTGCAATCGTACACCCAAAATTTGTGCTAGTTTTTCAATTGCACAAATCTTGGAGTAGACCATTTAAGAATCAACTTTTTCTATCGTCTTTTGGTGCCTTTATTTCCAAAAATCGAGATAAAATACGATCATTCGCGAGACTCACATACTAGCCGCCATCTTTGAATCAAGTGTGTGCACCTTCGTAATCACGTGACATACCAAAAAAGTAAACAAAGAGTTCTTTGTCTGAAGTTTGCCGGCCTTCATAACCAGTCCCTCTATTAACTATGGTCTCCCTACTAAGTCACTAGTTTTGTAATGCTCACTATCACCAGTCCTCTCGCATTCTGGTGCACTAATGCTTCCTATCAAAACTCATGCAATATCATTTACGCTACTTTTTCGAGTGAATTTGACCGATTTGCCATGAAATACGGGAATTTTGCATAAAGCAGCCCTTCGAACGTTGTGTAAAAAGGACCTTTAAGTAATCGACTTTTCCGTTTCAGTGATGGTTCTCAATTCACTGTGTCCGGTCCTCACAGGATAGGAAGGGTTTATCGTAAGGTCCTTTACAGAGAGTTCACGGATGAGACCTTCACGAAGCAAAAACCTCATCCAAAGTACTTAGGACTACTTGGTCCTATTATAAAAGCTGAAGTTGGTGATACTCTAAAAGTACACTTCAAGAATATGGCCACAGACCTCGACCGCCCCTTCACGATGCACCCGCATGGGGTCTTTTATAATAAGGGTTCAGAGGGAGCCTTCTATAATGATAATACTCAGGGAGACCTAAAAGAAGACGATCACATTCAACCAGGTGGGACCCGTGTTTATTTGTGGACAATACCAGAAAATCATGCGCCGACCAAAAGTGATAAGAACTGCCTCACCTGGGCGTACCATTCTCATGTAAAACCCGGTCCAGATATCAACACTGGTTTAATTGGTAAGTAGTTTACTTATTATCCGCTTATTTCAGTCCGTTATGAATAATGTTGACGGTTCCTTTAACTTAGCTTTTTTTTTTTCTATAGGGATCTTCTTTAACTTTCTGTGACCAATTTATCCCCAGTATGTTTTCAGTCTTGTAAAATGTTAGCTCTTTTTTTCAGGGATAATCTTAACTTGTAAGAAGGGAACGTTAGACGCAAACAATGGGGCTCGAACAGATGTAGACAAGGATTTCATTCTGTTGTTTACCGTAATGGACGAGAACAAGAGCTGGCTTCTTGATAAAAATATCAAACAATTTTGCACTGATCCTGACGGAGCCATAAAGAAAAAAACAGATGGTGGGTTTGTGAAAAGTAACAAATTGTACAGTATCAATGGCAGAGTGTTTGGCAACTTGGAAGGTCTGCATTTGTGCCTTGGAGACAAAATAAGCTGGCACATGGTTGGCATCGGCACTGATACTGACGTCCATGCAGGTAGTAAGCTTTTTAACCCCTGTAAACAGTTTCACCCACAGGTGTCTCTCGTTTTTGAAACTTGTCACCTCGCCACAAATCAAGATTTGTTTCCTCCCCTTTCATTCCCTTCTTGTTCACCTTCTCTTCAGACTTTCGTCGACTCCGCTCTCTTTGCTATACCTTTCTCACTCTGGATTCATTGTTAATTTTTTTTCTTGAAATTCCGCCTCAATTAAACGGAACGGCAACATTTTTGGGGGAAATACTACATCTGATGTGGGGGTAAAAGTATATGAAAACAGGGGGATCATAAAGGCAAAACCAAATTGGCCTTCTTGTCCAAGACTTTTTAAAGTTTTCTAGGTAACTGTAACAAACCTCAATAGGCTCTTTGATCTTTCAGGCCCCCATCACAGTAAAATTTAATACACTTGACAAGTCCGATAAAGTACCCTGTTGTGTTTGACCAGCCATAGCTCTTGGTTCTTCACAGGATGGTCCCAGAAAGATGTATGACCCAGAAGCTTATCAAATTCCTCTTTTTCAGTATATCTGACAAAATGTATAATGACTCAAGTTGAACAATTGGAGAGGAAGGTTGCTCTCGGTCCCTTGGGCATTCGTGAGGTGAGGGGTAATAATTCCCCCCATAAACATTGTGTTGGATACGTGAGTAACACTATAAATATTGTATCCTTTCCGCTGCAGCGTATTTTCACGGCCAGACATTCACAATTGACAGACATCTCAGAAGTGTTGCTACTCTTTTACCTGCGACGTTTGTGACGGCAAGCATGACAGCTGTAAATCCGGGAACGTGGCTTTTGAACTGCATGGTGACCAGTAATTACGATGGAGGGATGTATGCTTTGTTTAACGTAACCAAATGTGACCGCGATGTTGACATACCAATCGCCAGCGGAGGCCGCACGCGAAGATACTTTATCGCTGCCGAGGAAAAAATGTGGAACTATGGTCCTAGCGGAGTTAACCAAATAACTGGGGATGATCTTTTAAAGCCAGGGAGGTAACTAGGATAGATTTTAAGCGCAGTTATTAACATCATAATGTTAAGAGTTTGAGAGGAGGGGAAGAGATGGCGCAGTGGTGAGAGCGCTCGCCTCCCACCACTGTGGCCCGGGTTTGATTCGCAAACCTGGCGTCGCATTTGTGTCGAGTTTGTTGTTGGTTCTCCTAGCTCCACGGCGTCCTAGCTCCGAGGGTTTTTCTGCGGGTCCTCCCGTTTTCCTCCCTCCGCAAAAACCAACTTTCCATTCAATTCGATCTGAAGTCGAGTGTTTTAAATAGGACGTACCGGCTCGGAAGAATGGGCAACCAATTCCTACATTATCCACTTCCAAATAAATTATATATTTTATTTATTAAAAAACTAAAAGATGCTCTTCACACTCAGGGTTGATTAATTTAATCTAAATTATCTTGATTTCTATCCATTCATATCCATTCTAGTTTTTTTGTAATGTAGTTTTATAGCATAACCAAAGTAAAGGGTGCGCTTCAATTAGTCAATTCAGTTAGCACCATTTACCCATTTTTTCCTATGGGTGTACATTGCTGACATGAGCAAATGCAAAGACTAGTTTTGTGCGCATGTTTTTTTCTGGTCATGTAAGATTTGTTACATAAAAGGGAACTCTTTTGCCACAATGTATCAATGTTAGGTTATAAAACAAATGATCATGATAAACATGATGGTACCATTTATTAAGAGCCAGTGACCGTAAATATCGAGAATCCGCCGACAGTTGCAAAATTTCATTTTATTTTTTCTAAAGGACCTTTTTAACGAACCTTTTTCGAAAATTATATCAAAAAATTTTATTGCGCTTTTTTTTTCTCCGAAAAATCGAAAAGTTCAAAATACGCCGGAATGGCTGTTGCCACCCCACCCCCGCAATGAAAAAAAGTATGCAACTTCGATAACCCCCCCCCGTGCAACGCGATGCAATTCCGCTTCTAAATTTTGTGTGCTAGCAAATGGTCCTTATATCTCTTAGAAAATATTAATTTCTTATTATATTGTTACGTTTAATTCTGAATAGTGACCCGTTGAAATAAAGTACTTCGCGTCTCCTTTCGCGGAGGTAAAATAAAGGTCAACTTCGGTGGCCTATGAACAGGTCTCCCATATATACTTACAAATCATAACGTACGTCAGCTTTATCCTTGTATTTTAATTTCTCCAATTCTCTACCTTGGCCCGCTATAAACGGCACTTCCAGGTTTAAAAGAGTTTGGGCAGTTTTGTAAAAAATGCAATGCGAACTCCTGAACAGCTGTCACGACCTATTTAAAGGCCTTTAAAAAGGTCTTGTATGATATATCTACAGATCAAAATATATATCTCCTTTGCGCTTTATCCTTGTAGTTTTATTCCTCGAAGTTTCGTTCTTAGCCCGCCAAAGGCTGGACGCGTCGCCTATGGCGTGCCAAGAAACAAACTGAGGAATTAAACTACAAGGATTAAACTTTAAGATGACATCTATTTTGGTTTGTAAATATATCATACAAGACCTTTTTAAAGGCCTTTAAATGGGTTGTGACAGCTGTTCAGGAGTTCGCATTGTATTTTTGACAAAATAGCCCAAATTCTTTTAAACCTGGACGTGCCGCTCATAGCGGGCCTAGATAGAGAATTAGAGAAATTAACAAAAATAAAGCCAATTAAGATAATGTATATTATGATTTCTAGGCATACATGGCAGACCCGTTCAGAGGCTACTGAAGTTCACCTTTATTTTACCTTCGCGAAAGAAACGCGAAGTATTTTATTTTAACAGGTCATTATTCAGACTTAAAGGTAACAAGACAACAAGAAATTATTATTTTCCAAGAGAGAAAAGGACCATCTCCTAGCACAAAATTTAAAAGCGGGATTGAATCGCGTTGTTGCGTACGAAGTTGCCGAAGTTGCATAATTTTTCATTGCTTTACGGGGGGGGGGGGGACAACGGCCATTTAGGCGTTTTTTGAACTTCTCGATTTTTCGGAGAAAAAAAGCGCAATAGAACTTTTTAATACAATTTTCGAAAAAGCTTCATTAAAAGGGTCCTTTAGGAAAAATAAAACGAATTAAGAAATTTTGCAACTGTCCGCGGATTCTCGATATTTACGGTTAGTGGCTTTTAAGAATTGCACCTGGTAAATAATGAAAAAAGACAGAGTTCAACATCCAAAACTATCAAAAGCCATATCAAGCTGAGTGACTGATCAACAAATTGCAGTCGAACACAAGCACAAGCCATAGGTGTAATAGCAACTTTGCCATTTCTTATGATGTTGCTCTGTAATCCAAACGTGTGTTTGCACTAGTGACTCTTCAAAGTACTTCATTAAGAGCGAAAACAGAATAGGAGGCATCTACAAAAAAGCCCTGTTCATCGAGTACACGGATGACATGTTCATCACTCCAAAGAACCGCACTGAAGATGAGATCCATCTGGGTTCGTTGGGACCTGTTGTCCGCGGAGAGGTGGGAGACACCATAGAGGTGTTTTTTCGCAACAAGGTCAGTTTAACCTCGGCTTAATTGAAAGGCTTCTAATTAGCTCTATACCTAGTTTGTAAGTAGGAGCATTTTATGAGGTCAACTTAAGGTCAACTTACGGTTAGGTAGGATTAACTTAGAGCCGAGTAACCTTAAAAACAAACTCCTACGATAAAGGGTGTAGAATATGTGGCTTATCCTAGGCATTTTCAGAATTTCTCAACTATCTGAAACATTTATCTGCCAATTCTTGAGTGCGCTAATACGCAAAAAAGACCATTCTCTCCCGAAAATATGGAAAATGAGCTTCATTCGCTGGCTTCCCGCAATACTAACAAAGTTGTTCAACCTCTACTGCGGGATGTGCATACTCTTTGAGTATGCCTCCCGTAGATTTAACCTGAAATTTTAATTAAGAATAATCTGTTATTTAAGTAATATTGAGTTCAAATGCAGGCGTCAAGAAACTACAGCATTCATCCAATTGGCTTGCTCTACAACAAATCTAACGAAGGAGCATTGTATGAGGATCGTACGTCCGGGAAAGACAAAGATGATGACGAAGTAAGGCCGAACGGAACGTTCAAATATACGTGGACCATACCCGAGGAAATGGGCCCCAAGGATACAGATTCACAATGTTTAACCAGAATGTACTTCTCAAGTGTGAACCCAACAAAGGATAGATATTCAGGTACGCACTATGCCATGAAAGAATTCATGACTGCGTGAAGAAGACGCGGTGGTCTATATATAGCCTACTAGGCGCCGTTTTGTCTTTTGCTCTTGGGCAAGACACCTCACTCAACACTACTTGAGATACATAGGAAGTTACAAGCAAACATTTAGGGAGATCTAAGTAGATACTGGCGAAGACGGTAGGGGTGGGAGTGAAGATGGGGGTAGCTAAGGAAGGCGTGAGTAAGCCTGCGATGGACCAGCATCCCATACCGGGGAGGCAGATGTGCCTCTTAGTCACTTCACTCTTCATAAACCAGAATATGTTCTAGCAGCTACATTTGTGAATCAGTCTCTTCACAATCATCTGTCTCTTCCTACAAGCCCTATATGGGCAAGCATTATACGAAATACTAAGGAATATTTAGCGAGACTCTAGTTTTGCTCTCTGTCAAAAATGATGGAATTGGCCCGAGATAAATCGATTGACACCCTGTTCCTTGGAGTTTCCTTCTTAGCAGTCTTTCTTTGTAGTTGTTAATTAGTGTTTAATGTCAACCTCATGGATGCGTCATCTTGTCGTATCGTTACGATTAAGCTACGGAATTAATTTTTCATTTTACCCGCCTTTAGGTCTCTTTGGTCCCTTGCTGATATGCAAGAAAGGAAGTTTGGACTCCAAAAACAAGCAAAAGAACGTAGATAAAGAGTTTGTTCTGCATTTTGTTGTGACCTTAGAAAAGAATTCCTGGTACTACTGTGATAATAAGAAACTCGCCGACGAGCCATCTTCTATAGATGAAAGCATGAATTTACTGAGACTGTATTTTAACCTCACAGGTTTTTAAACGATCTTCATTTGTCATATTCTACTCATCACACATGGTTTTCTGAGAGAAAGTGCTGAAAGAAATTGTTTTGTCATCTTTGTATCGAGGAAAAATTTCCCATGTGAGAGGAGGCATGTCAAGTTCTCTGGTCCATGCTCAACCTACAAAGCATACAACTTTCAACGTTTAAATTTGGGAAAGATTGTATACTTACTTAGATCAATACCCTCTCGACTGATGTCAACAACTACTTGCAGCAGAGAAACGATGTAAACATGACCTTAACTTGACCAACTTATCGAGCAGAATGAATTAGCTTTACTATATCACTCGGTCGATCAGTCGGTCAGACGATGAATCATTCAAAGAATGGCTTTCTTACATTTCACTTCATTATAAGGTTTGTCTTTATTATGAAAATGCTGTTACCTTCCAGGTGACTTGGCTTACCTTAACAGTAACAAGATGCATGATGTTAACGGATACGTGTTCGGCAATCAACAAGGTTTACGCATGTGCACAGGAGACCGTGTGTCGTGGCACATCATGAGCGGAATATTGATGCACAGCCCCTATTTCTACGGCAACACGATCACCTTCAATGACAAAAGAGCAGATGCTGTAGGGCAAATACAAGGTATCGACTATCTAGACGTGTCAACAAACAATCAAACAAGAAACAAACAAAATATAAAGAAGTAGTAAAACCGCCATCCAGTTTTGGAAAGTTTGCTTGAATACAAGAGATAAAGAGTGGATACAGCCAGTGCTGTCGTGCACAAGTTTTAATCTACCTGAGTTCAAACAAAATTGATCTATGTTTCAGTTCAATTAGGTTTCCCTCTCGGTCGTCAAAAGTTCATCTGCTCGGATTCAGAAATCTTTAAAGTCTTTAGTTGCAAAGTCCGCCTAATTCACTCGTTGTAGGTAGCCTGATATGCAAAAAAAAAAAAAAGAAAAACACTGAAAAATGTAACAAGGCAGATAAGCTCTTTAGTTTTAAAGGCTGATAGTTTCGAAAGAAAATGTTTGGGGCTGCGTCGGTGGGAGTAACGAAATAATTTGGATATATCAACAAAGTTGAAATGGTAAATTGGCCACCGTAATGATTACAAAAGCTGACGTTTCGAGCGTTAGCCCTTCGTCGGAGCGAATAGAGGAATTGTCAGGGTTGTGTGTGCTTTTAAAGGCAGAAAATGGAGCTACGTTCTTTAGTTTTAAATTGACATCAATCTTGATGAGTGATTAAATCATTCTAACAGAAAACAATTCGTTTTTGAATTGACCAAATCTGCCAAAACCGCTGTAAATGTTTTTGTTTGCCATCTGTAGGATCCTTTATAACAGTTTACATGACTCCAGATAATCCCGGGCAATGGGAAATAGTTTGCAAGACAACAAGTCATTTGACCCTTGGAATGCAAACAAAATACACGGTCCTTGACAAATGTGGGAACTCTTCATCAGAGCAGAGCACTGGTAAAGTGAGGCGTTACTATATTGCTGCTGTAGAGGAGATCTGGGACTATACACCGACTGGTCGAGATATCTTAGGTGGAAAACCGCTGGAAGAAAGCGAGTGAGTTGTACACTGCTGTAAACCTTGGCACCTAAAAAGCATGCTGCATGAACGATGAGACCTAGCGGCTTGGGAAATGATATAGAACAGTTTCATGATCCATACCGTGGAGAACCTTTGTTTATGATGATTCTTTTCTTCCAGAGAAGCGTGGATGGCTTCTAACATTTACCACCTGTAACTAATTGTGGTTATCATAAACATGTGTACCCATAATGCTGTAGGGTCTAATCGTTCATTGCTAACACTTCAATGTAGGTGTTAACGGTTTTGCAATCAAATGTATATAGCTCTGACTGTATTTTACATCTCTAATGGAAATCCTTTCGACGTAAAATCAGTTTGAATTGAAACTATGAGATGATAATAATTGGCAATTTTAAAATTTTCCACAGGCTTAGAGGTCAAACTAACTATTAACTGCATGTGTAGGGCATCCAATCAAAGACCTAATTGAAAATACAAAATATGACATTGCAGCTGTATTATATTAATGTATTAATTTCTCATGAACCAAGCGTGAGGGCTGTACTGGGGAATATTGGCCCGAAGTCATGGCAGAACGAAAACCACTGAGAGCCAGTATCTCCCAGTACGGCTTATGCAGGCGAGGTTAGTGAATACAACTCACCATTTACGCCCCGACTAAAACTTTCTTCTGTTAGTTTACCTGTTAGTGGAAGAAAAACGCAATAACAAATAGATTCCGCTTTTCCAAATGTTTGTTCAGCTGGAGATCGTAAAAAGCTCCTGAAGCTTGATAAGTTACGCGTTATATAGACAAGACAGTTACTACATATAACACCTTTAATGCTTACTACGACAGCTTTACGTTCAGTGTAAATGACATTTTATATTTTTCACATTGTATTTTAGCGAGGCCAAATCATTTACCACTAATGGTCCAAAACGCATCGGTCATAAGTACAAGAAAGCGCGGTTCCATGAGTATACAGACGCTACGTTTACAACGAAGAAGGAAAGAAAGACTAACTATGAAAAACACCTAGGAATTATGGGGCCAGTCATTAGAGCAGAGATAGGAGACACTGTGGAGGTTGTATTCAAAAATATGGCCGGCAGAAGTTATTCCATTCATCCCGATGGTTTGTTTTACGAGTAAGTAAGAAAAGCTTGATATTCAATTGGCTTGTTTTCTTTGTTCGTAACGCGGCTCATAATCTTGGCATCAGACTTCATAATTGCTTTTGATAATGTCGTCCGATCGACTTCACTTTGAGCTTTGTATTGGCCCGGAACGAACTGAAAAACTATCTCAATAAAGTTTAGTTGGGTGTGGGTCAAGACATTAACTTTTTTATTCCGATTCACTTCTTGCGGAACACCGCGTCCTTCGTTCAAATTTTTTGTTCAATTATTTTTTTGATAGAAAAAAGTATGAAGGTTCGAATTACCAAGATGGGACCACAGGGGATGACAAAAAAGACAACGCAGTCCCCCCAGGGGGCCAGTTTATATATGTGTGGCAAGTCCCAAAGCGAGCAGGACCAACACAAAATGAAGACGACTGTTCGCCCTGGGCATACTATTCCGATGCATATGCGGTGAAAGACTTCTACACCGGGCTGGTTGGACCGCTTCTTGTCTGTAAAAAGGTATATGATGATAAAATAAGCGGACAATGACACTTAGCAATCAGTGTTTCATTTTTTACTTTTTCTTAACCTTTGCCAAACGAATTGCAGAATTTTATTTAGAAAAGCTTCAGGGGCTTTTTATGACCTTCAGCGGGACAAACATTCGGGAAATTGAAATCTATTTGATTTGGTTCAATAGTTTTCTTCCGCCAACAGGAAACGCTAACAGAAGAAAATTCTCGGCGGGGAGTGGACCGCGAGTTCTTTCTGCTTTTCGCCACATTCGACGAAAACAGGAGCTGGTATCTAGAAGACAATATTAACGACTACTGCTCGGATCCAGGTCCTATGGATGAGCTGAAGGGCGACCCTGGGTTCCAGTTGAGCAACCAGAACTACGCCATCAATGGTTTTCTGTACGGAAACTTACAAGGACTAGAAATGTACAAAGGAGAGAAGGTGGAATGGTATCTATTGGGTCTTGGAGACTTAACAGATGTCCACACAGTCCATTTCCATGGACAGACATTCCTTTATGTAAGAGGCAGTAATCCCAATAATTTTAACGATGGGCTGTATCATTGACAAGTAAAGGACTAGTCATTATTTTCCGCCTGGGTGGGCGGGGATCGGGGATTTTGGCGGGATCACATGGTTTTCAAGGGGAATGATGACAATATAACGGAGCCAGATACATTATATCGTAACACAATCCGAATTCTCACCCTCCAACCCCCGGTAAAAATATAGTGACAGGTCTCTTAAGAGATGTCACTGAAACAGACGCATACAAAACTCCCGCTGATCTCAACCTACTGAGGACCATCTTTGATTGAAAAAAAGCCTTGGGGAGAATCACTCGATGAAACGTGCTGTCTAAACGTTGATTTTCGAGAATAGTGTCAAGTTTTACCAGAGGTTAAAGTATAATGGAATATACACTGAATATATTCATCGTCTAAAACCTCGGCAACGCTTGTTAAATGTTAAACTTTGGTCCTATTATATTATATAATATATGGTTTTTCAAGCTGTGACGTTTGGTCCTTTTTCCTTTCTCTATCCTTTTCTATCGCAGAAATTGACCACAATGCACCGAGAAGACGTATATGACCTTTTCCCAGGAGTTTATGCTACCGTGGAAATGGTACCTGACAGCGTAGGGGACTGGTTACTGCACTGTCACGTGAACAATCACTTGACAGGCGGAATGGAAACACTTTTCTCAGTCATGGAAGAGACTGGTGAGTGAACATGCGCCATTAGCATGCTTGTTAAAACGATACAGGGTTATACCAACTTAAGTCTGCTGTGCTGTTAACTACGCCGTGTTGACTAAATGACTAGTTAAGCCTAAATTGTAATTTTGCTGTTTCTCCTGCTTTGTTGCTGGTTGGTTGTATTCAGCGTGTTTATTGAAACCATTGTAAATTTAGGGAATCAAATGAAAATTCTTGATGTTTTCTTTTTCATTTTTGTTCTACAGATAAGCCAACAGTTTACAGCAAGGCATCCAAAGCAGACCCTGCCAGAATGATTTTTAAGACCCTACTTGTTTTCCTTTTATATTTGTTTGCTGCTTGATGCTACAGTTCCCGGTTTTTTAATCAAAACGAGTTTCAGATGACGTTTTGAATCACTGGGCCTTTCTCAAGCAACCAAGTAATTCAAACGTTTAACATATAAGCTGTGCCATAGTAATCAGTGATTCCGGTTCAGTAGAAGAAAATTCCTTTCTATATGTTCGTAATCATGTCGTAGGAGTTTTGTAGAAGTCTTGCTTTTACAAACCCCCAGGATGACCATGTGTAACAGTGCATAATCTGTTGGTTGTTTAAATAGATTATTTTCAAAACTTTTTGACGTTTGTAAACAAATCACAGCTGTTTTCTTTTGGAGTAAAGGGATAGAGTGCTCCCCAAGATGTACAATTTATTGTTGTTGTTAAAACGTGTTTAAAGCAGTGAACCTTTCTCCAAGCATGTTGCGAGCGAAACCGCTGAAAAGTGGCAGGTGAAACGATAGAAGGTGGTATGGGATTCAAGCAAGCATATCTCTACTGCAAAGCTATGAAACACAGCATCAGTGCCAAATGTGGCAATTTTCCTCTAATAAAACAAAACAAAAAAACAAAAACAAGGAAAAATTAATTACAACACAAAATTTTAGTCACGAAAACGACCAAGCCCATCGAGTTACTACAAGTATTAGGCAAAAGAATAACAGGAGTTACAAAAGAATATAAATTGTTCTTTAATTCAGAGTGCCTTGTAAATCTGAAGGCTTGTCTACTCTCGTATAATGCCGGTACATTTGTTTAACATGTGTTCCATTTACAAAAATGTTGTGTTTTGGGCCTTTTGTAAAATGTATAACATAACTAACGCTACAATATACAAGGATACAAAAATTCCTCTCTAAATAATCATCAGTGTTTGGTGTTCTTTAATTCACCTTAATCACAATTTAGTCTCCCCCTATCAGTATAAATATAGAAGTAAACATATAAGTGATGGATGCATTACAGAAATAGAGTCCAGTATGAACATATTGCGGCCACCTGAATGTGTGAAAATAGTATAAAGAATTCTCTGCTCCAAAATAAGGTTTCTATTTTAAATTTTTGTAAGGAATACAAGTTGCTGTAAGTATATCACAAATTTGAATTTCATAAATATTCAAAAGACAATTTTAAAAGTTACCTAAAAGATATTGTTTTCCGAGCACAAGATAAATGATTTACTTTGGTTCAAATTTTCATGTAAAGTGTAACAATAATTTTTGGAAATATATCAGCCAGTTAAATAGAAATAGAAATAGAAATAGAAAGCAGAAAGAATAGATTTGGTATTCAATGAGTGAAATCTGATGAATTTGATGAAGGATTTTACTCCATCACTCTCAACATATGATCAATAAATCTCTATTCTACCTGTTAAAAATTTCCTAACAAGGAAGCTGTAAAGATAATCTGGATTTATTTCAAGAAAGAATCCACTAGCTGAAATCTTTCTCTCAACTAATCACTTTTCTACATGACAGCGAATGAATTTTTAGTCGAAGTTATGGGTGATTACTTATTGGACGAAACAGTCTGGGTGATTTACAATTGATTCTCTGGAATTGTTAGAATATTTACCAGGCCATGAAGTGCAAGGTGAATATTCTACCTACACAACTGTTCACAGAGATTGAAAAGAATATATTACCTAGTACATACAATCACCAAACGATCTCAACAGTTTTTTTTTCCAATGGACAGGAATCCACTTTAAAAAATGTTAATTTGTATGATTGGCTATCTCAAAAGAGAAAATGAAATACTAATCACCTTTAAGTAGCAGTTGAAGAGACAATGAAGAGTTTGATTTCCGGCATATATTCCAGTATATTGACAGAAATTGAATAAACTGGTTGTTCGGTTCTTGCGTGGCATATTCTGAAACAATTATTCGCTCTCGTGTCGTTAAAGGGGGTGGATAATGATTCCCCTCAGGTGAACAATTTTCAAGTGACACACGATACCTACTAACCCGTCTCTTGCATTTGAATAGTTTGACTAATGGGTCCATGGCTGAAAGCTAAGTTCAAGTGGAATAAGTCCGTCGATCACGTTTCATTCCTCTCTTATCACTTGTGACGTCACTTACCCCTGGCTGGCTGCTGTGGCAGATGTTACCCAGATATGTAACCTCCACGTGTTTTCCTCTCTCTTTCCGGATGACGAATCGCACCTTCACGTTACATTCTGGTCGCTTGCATTCCGCGCCTCCTCTGAAGAACACCGCTGAGTGGATTTTGCGAGAGTTTTCTGATCTCACGTGATTATTCTTGAAGCGTAAACTGCACCACGGGTTGCTGTCTTTTACTTTGCTGAGGAAGATTCGTGTCCAGTCGCCACTCAACAATCGGCCACCGCTAGGGAATGTGTTGATCGGAATTCTTGCCCAGTCTTCTTTGGACAACTTAAATCTGGCTGTAGTTCCATCGATTTCCTTTCGGAAATACTTGTCTCTTTTCCCGTTTTCATCATCATCAGAAGAATCCGAATCGTCCGAGTAATCCTGAGGAACAACCAAAAAGCTCCTTTGAATAAATCTTATACAGAAATACAGACAAGTAACACATACATTTTTTACATATCAGGGTATTGTTTTCCTTGGGGTGCTGTAAGGACCGAAAATTGACCAGAAAATCAGTTAACAGATGCAAACCTCCTTTAGCTGTTCATCTTTAGAAATAGTCTGTGACATGGATACTTTACAAAGTCAGACATTACTGTTTAACAATACATCTACATCGTCACTCTCTACCAAAGGAACAAGCACTTACCATACTATTACTCAAGCCATCTCTGTTTGACCAGTGTCCTCCCTGATTTTGGGAATTCAGCTTGTAAGATGAAGTATCAACCTATTGATCGAGTGGAAAGATTGTAGTCATTAAAAGGATTGAACTCACATGCATAGAGATATGCATATCTATGGAATATGAACATTAAGAATTATCCAAGAATGATAACAAATGAAACATCATCTAAACTAAAATACTAACATATTGATAAGTGATTTACAGAGGCTTGATGATCAAGAAAGGTTATAAGAAGAGTTTGTGACTTAGTAAAAAGGACAGCTCCCTTTTAATCCAATTTTCTCTAATGTGAATTTGGGAACCAAAAAGTCCCACCTCAATTTTAGATACTTCTCTTCTCAGATAATTCTTCATGGATAAGTTGTTTTCAAAGATCTAACATTCATTAAGACTGTTTACTAAAAGAGTTTGTGATTGAACAGAAAGGATTACCCTGATTCAATTAGTGTTTTCTTTTAAGCAACTACGTTAGCCAAGAAGTTACGTGTCAACTTCAAAGACTTCTTCTCAGTTTCAGTGAGATGTCACCCCATTGTCATGATACTGAACAGAAACGTCCCTCTTTCTCAAGCTAATTCCAACTTACATTACCTCAAGTGGCAGATGGGACATCCCAGGATCATTGTTGCTCCAGCCCACTGGTACCATGATAACTGAGGGTCGCACGTTTTTCGAATCTACTGCTGGATATTGACGAGAGGGGATATTTTGCGCATGACAGCTGCAATTACAACTCCTTGTTTTCTGGTTGTTTGGTATCAACTCACGGGATTCTGTTGACCAAGCTGGAATTCCTTGTTGAAACTCCTGAAAGTCGAATCCACGAGGGTACATAGGCATACCATTGTAGTAGTTGATCTCATTATTCTTATGCTTCTCCCAGTCTCCTGTTTGAGGATTCGTTCGTTCTTCTAAGTGGTAAAGAGGCACAGTGGATTTTAGAGAAGCTGATAGGGGTGACCTGTTGGTATCCATTCGGTAGGATGCACTATTCTCAGGGGTTCTATTTTTATGAATAGACCCTTGGCTATCAAGTTGGTGAGCTGAATTGCCACTCGTCTGGTGGTTTTGTTGATAGCAGTGAGCGCTCTCTTTGGAATTAAACTGGATTGGAATTTCCTTTTCTTCCTTTTCGATCTCATTTAATGTCTCCCTGCCATAAATCGGCGATTTGTTAACTTGTGATGGTACATTACCCTTAGCTGTAAACCCCTTTTCGTGTGAAATTAAATGGTTTGGAAGCTGTTTCTCAGGGAAATGTCCTACGGCTAAGATTTTATCCTGGTTGACGAAATCAAACGTTGGAGATTGCGCTCGTTGGCTGGTCAGTCCATCCACTGAATTTTCGATCTGATACACAGGCACAACATTCTTCTCCACAATTTGATCAGACATTGCTCCTTGCACGTTGCTAATTTGTATGTTGAGTACATCTTCATGAGTTTGTGCGTCTCTAAGTAAGGGTAATTCTTGGATTGATTCCCTTGACATTGAAATTGTTTGGTGGCTGACTGTATTACTCGATGACTCTGATATTTCCACTTTAACAAGCGGCATATCGCACGTGGAAATTACTTCATTGCAATGTCCATTTTCTGGGATTTCAATCTTTACACAGCCAATCGGCAAGTCATTCAAAGAATACATTATGTAACCACTCACAAAACCCACAAAGACGGAAAGTCCTTCAGAACGTGCGTCTTCTTTTGTCTTGTCTTGTTGACAGCTAGCGACAAAATGGTAAAAGTCGGATGTCAAAAATGATCTGAAAACGTGAATAAAAAAGGAAATGGTTAAACATGTACGATGCCACTGCTCTCATCAATGAACAAAATAAAGTCAACAGCCAAATATCTTAACAAATCCCGACGCTCTAATGATTCCAGATATTGTTCTTTTGTCTAAATAGGCAAATAGACTTGGCAGTCTCAAGGGTGGATATTTGAACAAAAGGTCGTGAAAAATTTGACAAAGCAGTCGAATTTATGCAATTTCGTCGGGCAGAAGAATTCGATCGCAAGGACAATTTTTTTTTAAATATTCCTCAAGTAATTCCACACGGAGCGAAAGGTCGTTGCGACCACAATCTGCTTCGTGTCATCAAACATTATCTGCTTCAGGTTCCCAACCTTAAAATTCAACATAAACGCAGCAACAATGAGGGCAGCTGACTAAATCCTAATTTATCCCAACGCTGAAATTGCAATATAATGTTTCTATTGACTATTTTAAGCCAAGTGCTCATGATAAGATTTAAACATATTTGACGTGCGCACCGTTTATTTTACGCAGATAAATGACCAAGCGCAGAATCTCAAGAGAAGGATTGGCGAAATTCTCGAGATCTAAACATTTTTTTAAACCTACTTCCTAATGAATGGTTAAATATACCCTGAAGGGTCACTGACACCTTACAACAACGGCACGAACGAGCTTAAAATAAGAAGTAAAGGGATCGCAGTTTGTTGTAAAGCAATATACTTGTGCACGCCATCCTTGACCCTCAACTATAATATTTATTTCTACTGAGTTAAGAAGGTTAAGGAGAGCACATCTGCAACTGTCAGTAACGTAGTGCTCAAAGCCATTACCATTCATGTCACATGAAATCCAATCAACCTTTAAAAGGCCATATGCAGTAGCTTTGCCTGTTGTCGTAACGTTCAGGAGAGCAAATATACAATTAAATCCGTTTCTGACGCCTCTTAAAACGCATCGTAAACCTATACTGAGATTGTAAATAAGAATATGTGTTTTTATGCGATCTGCCGGCCACAGATTTCTATAGTGGTTTCAATATCGTGTGTTAACATTCCTCTCTTCAATTTAAATTCAGTTCGATTGACTCTCTTTGATAAGAATAACATGAAATATGGCTTTTCTATCGGAATAGCTTTGATCTAGAAGATGTAAAGCTCTCCGAGAGCACTAAATAATTTAAACTTCGTGCTAATGTTAAGAAAGCATCGCCGGTAATTGGCAAAACTAGAGCCGATATTCGCCCACTTATTCCCTCGAGACTAATTACTTACCAAAGTTTTGAGGGGCTAACGATGAAAATTCTGTCAAAATTTCGGAGACTTCTATTCACATTTGTTTAGAAAAGACTCTATCTTAACCAAGTCGTCTGGCTACGTGATCTACGTGCTTATTTGTAAAATCTTTTCCACGGCAGTTGTACGTGAAAAATAGGATATCTAACGCCCCCGCGTGACCGTTTTCACGAATAAACAAGCAAAGGTGTTCGTGTCTTATTCTGAATCGACGTGGAAGAATATTTACGGAGCTAGCACCCAATTAATTACTTATAGCTCTCCGAGTGACATTTTGACTATAGTTTAAATGGTACCAGTCATTTTCTGAACGATAACAATAGTCTCCGAGTCAAAAGGACATTCAGTGTACATCAGCTCTTAGTCGCTGCAATGCAAATTACTACCATTTTTAAAGTTGAATATTTCTGGTGGTGAAGCATACTGGCCAACTTACTTTCATGGAACTTTGGGGTAAAGATGGTGTTCTTAAAACTTTTACTGACCTATTTGCTATATGTCTTTATCATTTTGTGTCAAATTATGCCGGTTAGACAACTGATGTGGGGAGATTTTTGCCACCACACAAGTTACCTTTGGCCCAAACCTCGTTGATACTACAACAACACAAGTCTCCGGCTCCAGCAGGTCAAGTTTCCTTTGTCTTTTGACTCTTTTGTTCTATCTTGTTTTCGTTTAAATAAATGAAGGCACTTCAAAAAGCCATTATGCAAATTTTTTCCTATCTCATAAGGGCGCCCACGGGATTATTTGGCATCCTAGCAATGCGTTAACCAAACTCTTCCGTAGAATTGAAGAAAAACATAACCACTACAAAACTAAATCACTTGCACGAGTTACGAAGACGGCGAATGTTAGGAAAGAAATATAAACGTGTAAGAGATAATTTTGGAATTGATGGAGTTCAACGTATGGAAATTAAATTTCACATTAGAATTTAGAGGTATGCACTGGAATCACGCAACAACAATACCTTTCATTAGGGCTGATTCAGAAAGACAAATCAAATCACGAGATGAGTGGCGAAAAAAAAAAAAACCTTGATATTGTCGCAGCCAGTAGTATGTTTTTTTTTAATGTCATGAACTATCTTCATGTATTATGTTGCGGGGAATGTTATCAGCTCAAGCAAAAAGGTCAAAATTTTTGGCCTCGGGGCATTCTTTGCTCCAACGCTTGTTGCTATGGAGCAGGATCATAAAACTATTGCACGTTTATCAAAAGAACACAAAATTAGAGAAGGATACAAAAAAATTAAGTATACGTTCTTCAAAAAAGGCATGCACACACGCAGCATTCGTATTGTTAAAACGGCGTGTTCGTATTCTCTGTGGACTTTTATTTTGAAGAAATTAATATAACTTGATCTACAAGGGGACGACTTTGAGTGGTTTTACTGCAGATTCAAGAACCACATGCAAAAGGCACTGACTCGAATGCTAGAAGTTGTCATATAAGCTCTGCTGTTGACACGCAAGACCTAAAAGGTTACGGCCATCCCTGTGGTGCAGTTGTTATTGTGGCTGACCTTGCAGTATGTGTGACAGCTTCATTTGAATTCGTTACTGACGCCACATGTGTATATAATTATGTCTCGTATCTCAAAACAAAGCCGCTTATGCAACACAGTGTTCAGTCAAAATAATAAAAAAAAATGCATTGCCTTCTGTTCGGATTAATATATCGAATAGCAAATATTGTTGTTGCCATCATAGAGTATGAATTTGACGAACTGTGGTGGTAAGAATACGATTCTATGAGTCATTCCACTACTACAGATCATTCTGTTGTCAAAGTCTGTGTTACATCCCAGTGTCTCTAAAATCATCTGAATCTGAGGAATTTGACCTCTAAGAAACCCAAGTTTTGCCTTTCTAGTTCTAGCAGCGAAGGTGAATAAAAAATCTCATGACTAACGTCTGTTTCAAGGCAAGATCTAAACTCGGTTTCAAAACCATCTAACCACAACATGTTTAACACTTAAGTGAACTAGTCTGTGTTGCATGTCATATTTAGGTCAGGCTCAAAGCCGTTCAGAAGTAGTTATAGGCATTTCTACGTATTAGCAATGTTAATGCAGTTTAGGTAATCAACAACCACTGAAAATATGCAAAAATCAAACCCACCTTTTATCTTCAAACGTCCTCCTAACACTGGATTACTTTCACATGCCTCACTGCTTCTTCTTCACAATGCATGGTTTGTCACATCTGGATTGACATGCGCAGTTGGGAGTCCTTAATGAATAGCCTATTGTGTTGCATTAGCCCGTTGACAGATGTCATGTGATAGGGTCAGGAGAGAAAAATGAGAAAAGAATGCGTTAATCTATTAGTTCGGGTTTTTGAATTGAGCTATTTTGATCAAACGAACTAATGTATTATCGAAACAGGAGCGACCCAAATACTCTACTAATGGAATGATGTCTCTTACATTCAAACCGAAAATATCTCACGGTTTGTTTGCAACATCAGTATTTAAAATGTGAGAAAATCCCGGATTCTATGCTTCAAGTTTCAATACCTTGCTGCTTTGTATTCTGATCCGCAGTGCAAGACATTACTAAGGAGTGCAAAAAAAGCTTCGTGGTAACCCTACAAAAAATCAGTCGTATTGCTTTGTTTGTTTGCTTGTTTGTTTGTTAATGTTAAAAATATGCCCAAGTATTCGGGAAAAAAAAAGCATTGCCTAGACTTGAAGTTCCTTCCGCTCAATGCTCTGTTATTTATATCTTTGATTGAATACTGAGCGCTTTGCACTTTGCGCTTTTATGGCGCTTTGCACATTGTCAGCACACTGCACACTGTTTGCGGTCATTTTGAACGAGGTAATCTTAGTCTTTGTCTTTTATGACAGGCGTGGGATGACAACTGTAGCAGAGGAAAACTGAACTTGTCTCTGCCGAACTATCCTGAAAAAGCTACCATCGGTGAAATCCTGGACAATCGGAATTCCCAGGGCTTCAAAACCCTCGGCTTCTGGATTGGTCAAGAGAGGGGAGAGGAAGGAATTGGCATCTTAATTAAGCTTTGTAGGTATTTGTCGCGAGTATGGTTTCTATGGGAATCACGGCAGCTGATTCACGTATTTCAGTTTAACCTCCAATTAGTAGTAGAACAACAAAGTGTATTATCATTTGAGCTGAATTTTTGTGTGAATCTTGTTAATGTACCATTTTTCTTTCTGCTTTGGGAAACACTACAACAAAGCCTAATGCATCAGTTGACCATGTGATGGTAACTTTCAGAGGCCAGAACTGAAAACGGGTATGGAAGACATTGATAGACACGACTGTGGAAAATATCACGTTTTTCACCGAAATAGAGTCAGAAGATCCTTCCTATCTATCACTAATCGCCGAAACGTACTGTCCTTCGTAGTTGTACTTTGAAGTGGTATATTGCCGGTGAAATTCAATCGAAGCTGACGGACTCAGTGATTAGAGATTCGTTACTTTCACTAGTTTTTTTTTTTTTTTTGCTCGTTGGCCCGTACATTCCTTCCAGCCTTCAGCTAATCCTTCCTTCCTTCCTTAAGTCATTTATTGCATTTAGACTGGAGTATTATTTTCACAGAAGTTCATCACATTTGTTGTAATTAAGTTTAGATCAGACTGTCCGGTGCGAGGTGTTATTGGTTGAAACATACGTAACATCACAAGCTCAGGGCTTCAAATGACTCAGCGAAACAGCAACAAACGAACACAACGCATGCATCCCTCTCCGAGGTACTAGACTAGAACCGCATATCTTTAGCGGGCCAAAGGAAAAAAAAATTTAAAGTTGAGACTTAGAAGCTTCTTTATAATTGTTTTCTGAATCTTACACTGATCGAACCGTTCATATATAAATATAGTTTAGAATGTTCCAGAATTATTGTTTGAACAGTATTAGTACATGTTCTTAAAAATGGGCCACATACGTGTTCTTTCGGCCCAGATAATGACCCGAAAAACTTTGTGTTGACGAGGTCTACAACTTAGTCTTCTTAGAATTCTTAATTTTTTTTTTAACCTCATGAGTTGGAAAAGAAATAGTGTCCTTGGCCTTCTGGCTAAATTAAATTAATTATTAATATCGCGTGTTTGTGTCTGCTACCGATACCGTTGCCATTAAGCAGAACGATATATCTCGTCAGTCGCCAACTTGAAGTTATGACGACTTGAAACATTTTTTATTCGGCGCTTTTAAACACAGATGTTTATATAGTCGATTTGAGGTGCAATAGTTATGCGTAATACAATAAAAAACAATGCGGTCACGCTAAGAAAATAAATGAGCACTACGTTTAGTGCCAACACTGTCTTTGTATCACATTAAATTACTGGATTAATGTCATAATCTCAGAATGCCCCCGATTTACTCTTTCACCTGTCTTCGAAAGTCAAGGCTTTTTGGGGTCGGGATCTTTTTAATCGCATTTACTGTGCACATTTGTGTGTGCATATTCTCTAAAGGCGTATGTCTCCATGCATCAGCGACACAATTCAACTGAATACACTCAGCAGTAAACATAGCTTCAGCTAAAACGCAGTGAACTAATTGTAAACAAGTAAAGAAACTACAGATTGAAAAATCCAATGAGTTATTTGTAAATATCACTGCATTTAAATATTTATGCTCTGACCTTAAAGTCACACATTGATTCAGTAACTTGCTATGGTCCAAGCGTCCATATATCTGCAGTTTGGGACTGAAAGACCACCAAAGCTCAAAGCCCAACCATACTAAGAGCAAGTAGCCGCGATGAGTTTATCAAGTTTTCTTTGTGAGAAAAGCGCGATTGTTATTTACTATTTCGAGACTTCAAGAGGCCATCCTGCTTACTCAAAAGATTTTGTTGTTGTTAGGAAAGACCAGGCCAGCCGATATCACCGCCCATGAATGAATATTGACAGGCTTCGTGGCTCTGTTACGTAATAACAATGATAAACACACCAGCCCAAATCATTACCGGAATTGCTGGATTTATGACATTTAAAAGTCCTTAAATCTTTGACCAGTGTCTCATACTCAAAAAAGTCACAAAGGACTTTGGATATCAATCAAAATTCCTCAGATTCAGATGATTTTTCGGGGATTTTAATCGTAAGTGTCAAGACCTCATCCTGGGTTCTAGAGTGTTTTTTGTAGCACTAGTAGCTGGAGGATTTACGGTTTCGTTTTCTCAAAAAACAGAGGAATGTTTCGCTTGCGACGACAATGACATACTGTTTGCCTCTTTAATGCGGCTTTTGGAAAACGAAATTAAAACTAGTGGCCTAAAAAGGATTATCCCTTTCTTTAATTAAGCAGATCATGACTTTCCAGACACAATAGGCATCCTTCATTGATAACTGGTGTAATGCCATGTTAGAGGTTAGTGGCAAAGATGAGGCAACCTGTTAAGTTCACAAGTAAGTGTCGCTGACCGGCTTACTCGAAAACGGAAAAAAAAAAAAAAAAAAAAAAAAAAAAGAAGGAAAACAAACAAACAAAAAAAGCAGTCGATAAGTAGCTAACACTGGTTATAGTGACAAGATTATCAAGCGACCGAACTTTGGGCTCATATTGTTTTCATTCATCAGACATAAATCAATCGTACACCATGTTTTTGCCAAACAGTGCTATCGAATTGTCGCTGAAGAGTCTGCGGTATGGTGCGTCACAGAAGCCTGAGCTAGGCTCTCATTTTATCTGCTTTTTACAAGTCTACGAGTTCACTCCAGCCAAAGAGCATGATATACCATTTTATATTTAGACAGATGACACGCGCCTGTATTCCTTGTTTACGTCCAGCTATCCTAACCGTGTCATCTTTCTAACCCAACGTCAACAGTTAAACTCAAAGATTGTCAGAGAAATTTTGTGCTGACCTTTACTGGATGCCGTGCAACAAAACTTAAACTTAATCATTGTAAGTCTACAACTATTCATCCAATCAAATAATGTCTACGACCTCATTTCAACAAAGTTTGCAGGAGATGATGTAATCGAGCCAAGAAATCATACACGAAACCCGAAAAGGGTCAGATTCGATCAGTATTTCGAATTTTGAAGGTACTGTTAGTAAAAGAATGGCACAAGAACACACGCATTTGAACTATTGCTAAAAAATAATGAAGGGAGAGTTTGTTCTACAACACTACTAGAACTGTTATTTACGCCTGCATGCTTCAACCTTGCGTATATATTATTGTAAGGCCACGATGTATTACGGTCTCCCAAGTTATTTCAGTGATCAACAGCTCAGAATTCAACGACATTATTCACATCAAACGCTACTTATGGGACTGCAATAACTGCTGGTGCCCTTAGGAGTCTTTTTTTAGATCTCTTTACTGACCTGTGTGGCTTTAACGAAATAGAATCGAGCTACGCGTCATTCAGATCATATTCTGTTAAATACAAGAACCCGTACCAGCCCTACGAGGAGATCTTTAAATTACCGGTTGGGCCTTTGAGAGGGCGAGCTTTAGCATATGTGGATGATTCATAGTCGATAGCAGTACGAAAACTCGGTAGCTGGATCGATAACGGTATTTATAACCAGCCCAGGACCTATTTTGTTAAGGATGCATTTAATTCATAATAATTACGACTACTCTAACCTGAGATGCAGAGCAGATTAATTCCGCAGAGTACTACGAACACAGAACGGCACTCAGTTCAATTGTTTTTCCCCTTTTCTTTGGCGTCTTTTTTGTGTGTGTGTTCTTAAATTCTGTGTCTTCCAAATTCCACGTGGATTAGACCACTTATAAATTAGCAAGTCATGATGATGTTTATACGCTGCTTTTGCGCACTCATTAAAAGATCATGTGTCACGGTAATATAATGTAAAAAGTGTGGGAAAAATTGTAACCTTAGTCAAAATTGTATTTAATTCTTCGGATTTATAACTGCTTTTCATATCTTTCCTTCCGCCGCGAGAGTTCCATTTAATCTTTTAGTGCTAAAATAAAAGAGCGTTATCGAATGCCTCAAGGCTCTGAATAATGACCTGCATGCCAACTTGTTTACTTGTTTGCCATCTACTCGTTTTAATTTGGTCTTCTTACCTCTGTGAATCTGGAAAATTCGCCCTTTTGATAGGCTGACCTCAGTTCAAGCAAGGGCAGTGGTCAAGTTTACCTAAGACAAGATTCGTGAGTTTAGCGGAGTAGCGTTGCGTGATGTAAGATGACAGATTCATAGCGGGGTTTTGACATCTTTCGCACTAAGAATTTACATATTTGGAACTTCGCGGTTTTGTAAGTATCACATTCCCTTAATTAAACAACAATCTCTCTTCTACTGATTTTTTTTTTCCTTTTTTTTGAAAAGTTGATAATTTTTTTTTTTTTTTTTAATTGTTGTTCTTGTCCAAATTGGAGCTGGGCTTGACACGTGTTCGCCACAGGCAAGCTGCATGAATAGGAACTGTTCATTTAAGATTTAAGTGCAGTGACAAGAGATCTAGAGAAACAAAACGACTCTTCCTGGGTTTTTTCTACCTCAAAAACTAGACAAAAAGTGAAGTGCTATTTTGCTTAATTAAGTAACTTTATGCATAGGGTCCTGAAACATTTAAAATTCAATATTTTCCAGAAGAAATATAGTCCAGAGCTTTTGAAGCGACTTCACAAATGCAAAATAGAATTAAACAAGCCACACGGTTGAAATGTGTTGCTGTAAAATAACAAAGGGCGCACCACAATAACTTCTGCAGGCCCCTGTAGTTCTGTAGACTCAGCGCTAAGAACAAACCTCGGCACATAGCTTTGGCGGATGAAATTTGGTGTCTGTAATGCACTTATCAATTGAAATCCCGACCCCCCCCCACCCCGGGCCATGGTGGGGATTTGATTTGACATCATTACAAATCTTAAGAAACCCCCACCCTACTGGGGGCATATTGACTGGCCGGTAAAGGCCCCACCTTGGTGGGGAAATGAATGTTGTTCCCTGACTGACTATAACCATTTAGTTCAAAATTTTCTACTTCTTTAGCGTACAAATTTAGCTAAAGTAAAAGCCAACTGTGATAAACTGCTGTATATCCAACCCTATCTTCACCTTTCATTTTATATCATGTAAAAACCCTGTGTGGCAAGACAAAACGTGGGGAAATTGATGTTATATTAAAATAGACAACATAAAATAGTTCCTAGGAGCTATATTTTATATTTTGGACCCTAAAGAATGAGGAAATCTAGCACTTAAAGGGAAAGTACGGTTTAGAAAAAGTTTACTTATATCAAAAGTTCCTTGCTTGCATTGTCCTAACTTGCTATTCATTTGAGCTAAATGCGTTTTAGTTGCGAGCAGTTACGTTCCAAAAATCAGCATTTTCAAATTGAAATCCGACATCTTTGTTATGACGTAGCAATAGTCCCTGCTGAAGTGGATGTAAACAAGGAGAACAGCGGCGAAGGGACGCCGCTTATTAAATTCTCTACTTGGATTTTAATCTAGCTGAGAGGATGTAGTACACCCATTTATGTTTCAAACGAAACATGGCTCGTTTTCAGGGAAAGGAGATGCTTCTGTTGGGGAGAAAGAGAGAGAGAAAGTCAAGAAAATGAATTTCAAGATGAAACGTCGACCCGCTCAGTCGCACACGTCTTGGANTATTGACTGGCCGGTAAAGGCCCCACCTTGGTGGGGAAATGAATGTTGTTCCCTGACTGACTATAACCATTTAGTTCAAAATTTTCTACTTCTTTAGCGTACAAATTTAGCTAAAGTAAAAGCCAACTGTGATAAACTGCTGTATATCCAACCCTATCTTCACCTTTCATTTTATATCATGTAAAAACCCTGTGTGGCAAGACAAAACGTGGGGAAATTGATGTTATATTAAAATAGACAACATAAAATAGTTCCTAGGAGCTATATTTTATATTTTGGACCCTAAAGAATGAGGAAATCTAGCACTTAAAGGGAAAGTACGGTTTAGAAAAAGTTTACTTATATCAAAAGTTCCTTGCTTGCATTGTCCTAACTTGCTATTCATTTGAGCTAAATGCGTTTTAGTTGCGAGCAGTTACGTTCCAAAAATCAGCATTTTCAAATTGAAATCCGACATCTTTGTTATGACGTAGCAATAGTCCCTGCTGAAGTGGATGTAAACAAGGAGAACAGCGGCGAAGGGACGCCGCTTATTAAATTCTCTACTTGGATTTTAATCTAGCTGAGAGGATGTAGTACACCCATTTATGTTTCAAACGAAACATGGCTCGTTTTCAGGGAAAGGAGATGCTTCTGTTGGGGAGAAAGAGAGAGAGAAAGTCAAGAAAATGAATTTCAAGAAGAAACGTCGACCCGCTCAGTCGCACACGTCTTGGAAATCGCGAGAGGTTCTCTTGCGGCAACTGTCAAGGGAAACCTACAGAAAACGAGAATGTACCCTCCTAAGAATTAAATGTACCAGGACACCGACTCAATTTAATCATGAAAAGCACAGGCTTTTTCTTCAAATAAGTCCTCGCTCAGAAGTGATAGTTATTTTGCTAAAGAAGACCGCAGTGCCAGCTACGGATTCATTTTACATTGCTACCTCGGAATGAGATGAACTATTTTTGCACTTACAGGAACCCAGCTTCGGTGTATAACTGAACACGAGCCATTTGGAACGAATAAGATCAGCCCCAATTGGCATGCAACAAGTTAGAAATGATAGACTTGCATTTTGAAGATCATTCTTCGTATGCGTAAACAGTGACAACCACTTAGTTGCCAAAATTAACGTAGACAAAAGGCAGAAGTTAATTGTTACGAATTCAATTTTGTTTTTTTCAGCATTTAACTTTAATTTGCAAAGGTGTTTTTTATCTTTATTGCTTGAAATTAGTTTCAACGCAGTACTTTTTATTAAAATATGTTGGAAATGTCGCGACTTGTGTGAAGTAGAGCATTGTTATTTTCGACGCGCGCCGGAAAGTCGCCTCTATCATACTGTGTTTACATTAGAAATTACCTCAATATAACTGAAGCTAAAATGAAACTTTCGATTTCTTTTGAAAGCATAAGCACTGCATAATTACGTCAAGTAGTTGGTTGGAAGACATTAAAATTTTTATATTATTTTAATTGTGTCCAATTTATATGGTGTAGTGAAATATGGGCGCCTGCATGACGAAGGAGAATTTGTATTTGTTGCAAACGTGTCTGTCTTGACAATCTGCTAGCGATGTATTAAATCTCATTTAGTTTTTTTCGCAGGAGAATGTGACTGGTGGGGTAAAGAAAATTTACACGGTGAACTCATAACAGACTTAGGAAAGACAAGATGTATTTGTACACCACTTGGAAAGGCGCATGATGTTGGAAATCGGCTTTGGTCAAGGGTGACGACTGAAAATTTACCACACACAGTGTACCACCATTTCGAGCTTCAATTTATTCCCTTACAATAAAATGGTTTGAAAAACCT